AGAGCTGAGCAATCCGTGGAACGATAAATTTCTAACAGTTTTAAAGGGTATCGCGATCGATTTGTTGAAGTTTGAAGAAAGTTAGCGGAAAAATATAGAAGGAGATCATTACTCACCGCTTGGCCAGAACCTATTGGCGTTGGCCGCCTCTAAAAATCGATCACCCTCCTTGAACAGAAAGTGATCCTCTATCAGTTGTTGTTGTGTCACTTTGTCCATCGAGACCAGACTGTAATATGTCCCTTTCAGTTCGCCCTCTAACGAGTTTAAGGCTTGCTGTATCTGAAAAAAGAATAGAGAAAAGCAGAGGGAGATGAAAGACGAGAAAGATTCGACTGCATAAACAGATTAGAGGAGACGTTTCCAACATTTTTTGTGTGGGAATTCATGTAGTCGTCTGGTCGACAACAAAGCGGATAAAACTCAATTAGAGAAAGCAATTACATGCCTTGACAAAACGAGGGAATTTTTTCGAGCTGGGGGAATCAACGGTTCCCCTAGCTACAGTGGATCAGAAAAGTACCTAGTTTCCTTGCAATATTTTTGTGGAAATAAAATGATACATTAAGAAAATCTGTTTTTGTAAATAGCAATGTGCACAGTGGCAATTTTCGATAATAATACGAGTAATATAAAAATTCAAGAATTAAAAAGGCATTGAACATATATGAGGAATTCTTTTCGCAACTCTACTATGTATTTGAACAGAATGTAAAATATTTTTAATGATTTAAAAACAACCGTCCTTTCTTGATGTTGACACGATACTTACTTAATTTTTGTCATTTTTCCAATAACATTTCGCCGTTAAATCCATGGAACTATAAATGTAATTGAAATTACAAATATACTAGAATTAAAAACACACTTAAATTACTTAGAATGTGTTATATCTTTTCAACTCCCAAATTTTTATATTTCTTGTATTATTATCCAACTCATTGTTGGAAATTGTTATTGTGCACGTTATTTTTCTATGTAGTAAATTTGTGGAAACTATTTCTAACATATTTGTTTCAACAAAGATATCATCAGAAAACTAGGTGTGCCAATATTTTTCTGCAACAGCCATAACTATTATAACCAAAATAAAAAAATAATAACAATTATATTTATTTGCTATTTATACTTTGTTTATTGTTATTTACTTTTCGTTATATATTTTAAAATGTTTTCGATTACAAATAACAATTATAAGTAGTAAAAAGAATTTTACCAATAACTATTATTGATGAGAAAAATTTATTTCGGTTAATTGTAACAGTTATCGATGAGAGACATTTTCTTTGCTCATAATAGTTATCGACAAAGGAAATTTATTTCAATCCTCTTTCTTCATTAATTTCCGCGAGTTCTAGATTAAAAAGTAACTACTTTATTACTTAAAAAAATGATTTTTAAAATATTGCGGTTGTGGATGATTGTTTCGGTCGAATGCAAAATAATACTTTATTTTATATTTTACACTATTATGAACAATCGAAATAGAATTCCCCTATAATATCAGCTACGAAAGAAATTTTCGGCCACTTGCAATTGTTATTTGTAATCACAATGTTTAATTTTTTAATCATGCAGTCTTTTGAAAAATCATCTTTACATTCTGAGATTAATATCAACTTAAATAAAGTTTAGACCTAGTTTCAATTACTGATCCTTATCATAAAAATAACTTATCTTTGGTCTCTGATTTTTTTGACCTATTGTACATGCACATTTTAATGTACAAATCAGCCATAAATTGTAAAAATATCGACGTTGTTCCTCTATTCCTCTATTTTTCTTTTTCCTATATTTTTTTCTTTCTTACGCTCCTTTTTCGTAAATATTTATTTTTATCTATTTTTTCCATCTTTTTGATCTTTTACTCGTTCGTTGACACGTGACACATTGTTGATAAAGTAGACATATTGCACTAGCTAAAGAAGTTTACTTTGTTTTTGTTTCTATTCACTAAGCAAAATTGGATAAGAAATGGGCTTGAAGGGGAATTTCGTTTATAGGTACAGAAATAAACGAACTTAATTTTGCTATTAAGTCTTATTGACGTTAATTTAGAAACATAATGTTACGAAAGCAGGTGGATACCTTTAATTTGGTAAAATGGAATTCATATCCTGCCTGTTCTCTTCTCGGTGTAAAAATTCCAGAAATTTATTTCAAAAATATTCAGCAAATAAAGTTACCTTCTAAATTGTTCTTTTCTCAACATTTCCTATCGCTGAAAAATCGTATCCATGCTACAAATACTACAACTAGCCATATATTCATTCAATATATCCATCTTCTTGCTTTATATGAAGTAGTAACATATGAAATGTCCGTTAGAACGTTTCAGGTTATTCATCTAGAGAGTATCAAAGAGTACATTATTTGTCTGCAATATAGTTTACGTAAAAACTGAATGGGGGGAGGGGGGATCTATGTTCTTTTATTTCGTACACTTTTTGTTTGAAATGTTGAAAGCTTTACTACTTTCTTTGGCGTAATGAAAAAAATAAATGAATGAAATTTATGTAATTTTCATTCTATAACTAAATCCGAATATTCACATACCGTCCTAAATTGTCAATTTTCTAAATTTCTTTTTTCCTATCTAGTTCTTAAAAATGAAAGACGAAGTAAATTCGCAAAAATTTACAAAATCCAATGTAATACAATGATAAAATTAAATAGACACTAACGATAGTTTCGACCGATTCTTTTCACACTTGAAAATGCTTTTGAGTAGTGTTCTCATAGAACGGATATTTTAGAATCTGTATAATAAAAGTTCTATGAAAACAAGTTATTTTAGATCATTTTTACATTCGATTATTATTCAATAGCATTCGGTGACAAAGATCGAGATTTTTTAATATTGATGAACAAATTATTTGTTTGTCCGACAGAAACATTTTTATTTTTATATTTTACGAAACTTTACTCTGTCTGAAAGTTTTATCTTTGAGAACATTTATCTGTCTGTTCTCATCACGATTTGTAACGTAAAAACATTTTTCGAAAAAGTTCTAATCCATATTTCAAACAGAACCTGTTTCCCTGATTTTCTCTCGATCCCTGTCTAAAATTCGTTTTTTTTTTTTAACCAGATAGACACGAGATTTATTTTACATGTTACGAGCTACAATTCTCTCCTTCTTCGTCTCATCGAATTTTCAATAGCTCGACGCAATATTCTGCACAACTATTATCTACATTTTTCATTCTTTGTCCGACGAATGCAGCCTTTGAAAAAAGAAAAAAGCTACTAAAAAATGATCCTCTTCTACCACTAATACGCGAAACAAAAGTCCAAAGACTCAACGATTTTCCTTTCAGCGACCATGCGACAGTTAAAAACCCAGAGTTCTCCGTTCATATTACAATGGGCCTTTCGATTCTATCGATATATACCTTTGCCTCCAAGTCTAGATAGTGAGCTTCAGTCATGGTGGGATTTAACGGATATCCGTTGACCGATCTGGCGCAACGAATCCTCGTCGAGATCACGAACCGTCCCTCGGGATCGAGATCTCCTAGCTGCTCTGGTAGACCCCAGTCCAAGTCCGGGTGAACGTCGTCCGATGTGAAATTAATATGATACTCTTCGATCACTGGGTTGAACAGCGCTGAGAACACGTCGTAAGCGTGCTGATCGGCTGCGTACAAACCAATGCCGGAGTCTGGGTTCTTCAAACCCGATTGGATCACGTCCATCAAAGTGGAGCCAGAGTTCGTTACACGTGTCTTCAGCATATCGAACACCTGCTGCGTTAAATGTTTCTTTAGTAGCGATCTGCTATCGATTTGGGCAAATTGTGCGTAGGCCTGCTCGAGAGACTTCACACGCTTGTCGTTCGGATTCATGAAGCCCGGCCTTGCTTTTTTCTCGCAGGCGCACAGCCGTTTGTCGCACATCTTGCGTTGAGGTAGCTACTTTACGTCAAGGTTCGAGAAAGGCGATGATGGATTTGGTTCTGAAAATGATTGCAGATGCTGAGAATCAGGAGTTTACAGCGTCGGGCAGTAGTTTTACGGGATGTGATGCGAGCTTTGTCGCTATTAGAAGTTTTAAACATTTTAACATGCTAATAACTTTGCGACAAATATAATGAAACTTTTGAAATACTTTGTTTCACTTGTTCTGATGTAAAGATGAACATGTTTTATATTTAGAAAGTAGTGGAAAATTTTTATAAGAGAAAGGTTGGAATGGACATTTATGTATAAATAGAGTATCTGATTTCTTTTTTTAATACATAATATACTTGATAAGACTATATTTAATGATATATAGAGAAACATTTGCATAAATAGAAAATATACAAAAATTCTTAGATAAATAAAGAAAAATATTTTTGTATTTAAAAATTGGTAAAAAATTATACAGACTAGAAAATAATAAAAATATTATGTAATTTAAATATTCATTGTAAATAACAAAGATTATTGAATAAATCTAGATATTTACAAAAGCCGTGCAAAACATCTCCTTTACGAGATTTGAAAGATTTCTACAAAATCTTTTCAAGATTTTACAATAAGACGTATTACACTATCTTAATAGAAATTTATAAAAAATTTACCAAACAGTTATTAATCTTTATTCCTTTATTTAATCGATGCATTCGAATAAAGAAAGAGATTGAAGAAGTATAAAGTTTTTGAAGAATCTTGACAAAAGTTAATAGAGACTAAGCACCTTCTAGGTAAAATTATTACCTAGATCCTCATGATGGACATGAAACAAATTCATGCATCGTGGAAACAAACTGACATCGTCTTAAACCTAATCCAAGCCATCAGGACATGTTTTGGACTTTCGTGTAAAAATTCAAAAGCAGGAGAGGAACACCGAAAAATCGGGTTTCAGCGGCGTCTGATCTTGATCTTAACCGTCATTAAACGCGGCGCGCAAGTACTTACTCCCGTCTCAGCTTGAAATCGTTACAGTCGCCGATTCTCGAGCCGCTGATTATTCCGTGCTCTAACCTTTCGCTGGTGGCGCGCGTCGTCTGGACGGTTCTCTATCGTTTTCTCTCCCTGCGGTTCGGCGTTCTACCTTCAGCCGGGCGCGCGGCGTTCGCGGAGCATCCCCCGGAGCGTCGAGTTTTAATTACACATATTTTTTGTGCGAGCCGCTCTCGAGGCTCGCGGTATGCGCCAGAAGGGCCCTACACGACGGCGACGTGAATATTCTGAATTTTGACGGACGCTCGACGCTTCTGGCATTGCCATCTCGACGCCGAGCGACCGCGAAATCTCGTTTCCCGCTCGTCGCGAAAAACCATCGAGGGGATCGCCGCCGCACCCCCTCACGCTCCTACCACCGTCAAATGTAAGTTCTTTCGGCAAGTGCGAATATTTCAGTCAGCGTGAAACGTCGACGTTTATAGTTTAGATTGTCTGGTTTCTATGGCCTGTGATTAAATCTGTCTTTGAGAATATCGTTGTATCTTAATTTCTCTTTTTATGTTACTTTTAAGACCGTATACGTTATAAGTAGATTGCAGATTTCTATATATTTGTGAGAAATTTAAAAACATACAAAATTGCACAAAATGTATAAAGTATCTAAAGTATAACACTTTATGTGTAATTATGTAATGTGTAATGTTTTGATATGGTAAAATAATTTTCTATCCAGATTGAACTTTCCTAAATGTATCTCGAAAATATGATTATGCATAAAAATCCACAGTCTAATTATAAGATATTTGTTATGCTGTAAGAGACATATATGAACGTAAGAATGATCTTACATTACATGTAACACGTTTACTTACTCTTTATGAGTATTAGACGAGACAATTACTTGTAACTCAAAGATTAAAGAAATGGTAAGAAAAATCTTAAAGATAGAAGTTTTTATCGATCTATAATCTAAAATTTTGTTGTAATCAAGATTTTTAAGCTTCTAAGCTCAATATGATTATTACATTTCAGAATTTCTAAATGTGAGCCATGCATGATAGAAATTATAACTCGACATTTTTTTCTCAGCCAATTGGAAGAACATTTGATTGAGAATGAATAATGATTACGATATTTTTTTATTTCTTAAATTTATTTGTTTACTATCGCAATAGATTATTCGTGAACTATTAATACGTCTATTAAATATTTAAAAAATGAAATACGTGTGCCTTTCATTTTTTTTATTAATTTTATGTTTGTAAATCTTATAAATATCTTACAAATCATGTAGCTTAATTTTTCTAGGACTTAAAATATTCTCTTCTATTTATCAGTTGTATAACTATTCTAGTAATATAGTAATCTTCTTCATTATGAACACAAATTAAATATATATCAAAATCACGTGTATTTAATTTCTGAAGAAATTCACTAAAATTATAATAAAAATGAACGCGATTTACACCGAAAATATTTTATTTAGAAAAATTAAATACTCTAACGAGAAATTTTTTATTTTTATTAACAGATTCTTTTTCCTCTCGCATTATTAATCTTCTTTTTAAAGAGATCGTGATTTGGTTCATATCCTTTTTGTACGTTATGCACAATTTCAATAAAACTCTTAATTACACAAAAATGCAAAACGTATTAATAGTGGAATCAGTTCAAAATTAATGGAAAATCGTTATTATGTCAAAGATTTATTCTCTCTCCTTGTTTCTTATTGAATATGTTGTACGGTAACTATATTTCATGACAGAAACGAAGGACATCTTCGTTATGCGGAACCCGCGATTAACAATAATCTTCGTCCGTTACACATATTTTTAAAGGAATTATAGTTAACAACCGTAATTAAGAAACACACATGAGACGTGTTCGTAGTCTAAATGAAAAAAAACTACCTTCTATGTGGTTTATTTACTGCACATCTGGGGCATAGTATACATACATTATATTACTAGGTAAGTTATTATAAGTAGTTGTAAATCTCTTAAGTAATAAAGCAACATATGAAAATACATGCATTCGCGTATTTCAAAGTTCCTGTTGCAATATTTCAGGAATCGAAAAAGTTAAAAGACTTTTATGTATATATATATATATATATATATATATATATATA